CTTGGCTCGTCAGCAGTACTTGGTGGAGCAGACCACAACAACAATTTGAATTTATATAGCACCCACTTCACGCTGGGTAGTGACCCAGACCAATCACTGGGGGCAGCTCCTATGTTAAGCCTATAAGCCAAAGCCTTAATAATAATAATCCTTGCATTTGATACAGCGCTTTTCACATCTTCCAGACGTCTCAAAGCGCTTCACAGAATAGACTGTGAAGTGAATTGACTGTATATTTGTGGGCGAAACGTGGCAGCCAATTACACACAGCAGTGTCCCACAAACAGACGTGGATTGAAGTGACCAATTTATTATTGGGTTTTTTTCTTGAGGGATTATTATCAGGCGTGTGGAGTAAGGAAACTTGCCCAAGGTTTCACCCTCTCAGGGATTGAACCCAGGTCTCTCGCTTGGCTCTAACCACTGAGCTACAGGCCTCCACTTAATGGGTACAGGAGTTAATGGGTAAGGGTGGTCCTAGTTGGACAAGCAGTGAGAAGTTTGCCACAAATTGCTTGTGGTTTTAACTGATTAAACTTCAGTGCACACTCTGGAATTCCCAAGCCTTAGCTCCTGCCAACCTGCACCTAATGCTGTCTGGAATGATGTGAGCAGGGTGCGTCCCTCTGGGGGGAGACAGAACGCACTCCATTCCAGACGAATGGGAAATTTCCATAAGTAGGTGGAATCTGTATGTGAAACTCTGTTTTGGATACTTTTAAGCATAATAATTTTATTTGCATGTTGCAGACCCGTCTTATCTTACTCAGCTTGTATTTCTGTTAATCATAAGATCACAATATTAGGTTGGGTGAAGAAGTCCCTTCGTTCAGCCCATCTGATCTCAAATTTCCAGAATAGGAACTTAGGAATTGAGCCTGTCCAACCACTTTCCAAGAACAATTCCACCTCTGTATCCCTTGATACTTCTAACTATTAAGTATTTATCTATTTGCCTTTTAAATTCTTCAATTGACTGCCTCCACTGCCCTCTGGGAGAGTGAATTCCACCATCCCGCTGTGTGACAAAATGTTCCCTTATTTCACTTTTAAATGGTTGAAGCCTCAAATTTAAGACGATGGCCTCTAGTCCTTGATCCTCTTGCCAGAGGAAACAGTTGCTCAATATTCAGCCTGTCACAACACTGTCCTCTCATCACAGCATCAAGCTATTTTTTAAATATAATTCGCTGGCCTCCAATTTGTGAATTAAGATGAAATCTTCTGAAGATGGCGCCATCTCTTCTCAAAGGATTGCCATATACCATCTTGTTTTTCCAAAACAACATTCAAATAAATTTAATATTGGTTCCTGCATTTTTCCACAAAATACAGTCAATCCATTTTACAATATATTCTGTGATGCGCTGTGATGTGGTAAGGCGCTATATAAATGCAAGGGTTATTATTTAAAGGGAGGAATATTTTTTAATTTATTTTTATTAATAGGTAGTAAATATTTAGTTTTGCAGCCTGGAAGCCAAATTTCATTTAAAAAAAAAGCAGCCTGAAATTAACATGTGTTTATTTTCAAATGATTAATGTAAACAGTTTACTTAGATTTTCTGGCTCAATGTTCTTTCTGGATCAAACACAGCAATGTGAGATCACAAGTGTGGAATCTTGCTTAACCATTGATATTTTGTTGTCCTTTGGTATTTTGGTTTACTGATTTTGTAAAAAAATATTTACAATTCTAACTTGGACAGAATCTCCTAAACACTGGTGTTGCAATCTTATACATAAGGTTTTATATCTCATCTGGGATCATTTGTATGTAGCCTAAGAGGTACAAAGAAAACAAAATTGAGATAATGCGAGTGTCAGCCTGGCTCTCTTGAAAGCAATCTAACCCTAAGGTCAGCATCAGTCCAGGCTGACTCCAATGCTAGGGGACTTGTCAGATGTACTAAACTTCGGATGAGATGTTAGAGTGAGGTCCTATATTCGTATTTAGGTGCTCATTAAAATTGGTAGTCAACTTCTTGGCTGTTTGTGATATTGCTGTGCACAAATTGACTTCCTCGTTCGCCTACAAACACACAGTCACCACACTTCACAGTAAATCTTGTGAATTGCTTTGAGACATTGTGAAGGCGTTGTATCAAATGCAAGGATTATTTATTATTTCTCTAATACACAACTGCAGCAATAGCTCAGTACATGCAGGCATTTTCTAGGGTGGGGACAGAATTGGGTTTGGCTGAAATACCTCCACAGTTGAATACCTTGTCAACAAGCACTTTCCAAGGTTTACACTTAAATAATAGCCACTTAGGCAAATGTATCCCTGGGCGCTGGTTGAATTGTATCCCAGGAGAAGAAACTATGCCCCAAAACTAGAACAGTCTTCCTTTATCCCTCCGCTTTGCCCCTTCCCTCCCCATCCTTAGGTTGTGCCTGAAGACCTTCCTATTCGACCGTGCCTATGGTCACCTATCCCTTCCCCCGACTCGGTGTCAGGCTGCTCCACTGTCAAGCACTGAGTGAGGGGCGCTATATATATATATATATTGTTGTTGTTGTAAACACCTTGAGCAGAGGAGAAGTATAGAGAAAATTGGTGGACTGGATATATCAGATATATATAATAATAATAATAATCCTTGCATTTGATATAGCGCTTTTCACGTCGGGAGGACATCCCAAAGCGCTTCACAGAACACACTGTAAAGTGAATTGACTATATTTGTGGGCGAACGCGGCAGCCAATTGCGCACAGCAGTGTCCCACAAACAGTCGTAGATTGAAAATGACCAATTTATTATTGTTTTTTGGTTTTTGGAGGGATTATTATTAGGCGTGTGGAGTAAGGAAACTTGCCCAAGGTTTCGCCCTCTGCCTGGAATTGAACTCAGGTCTCTCGCTTACAAAGCGAGTGCTCTAACCACTGAGATACAGGACTCCACAAATATATACCAGTGGTGAATAAGCTCTGATGCATTGTTCCTCTCAAAAACTTGTTCAAAAACGTTTCTGAAAGAGGTGTATTCCATTTTAAACAAAACTGGTTAAAGGTTTAGTTTTTGAGTTGGGTATGATCGCAGGAACAAAATATGTAAAATGCACAGCTGGACTATTAGATGCTTGGCAATTATTATAAACCTTTACAGATTTGGATTCATTTACTGGATATTTGCCAATGGCTTGTCAAAGATTGTACCCTTGTTTCAGTTACTGTTCAGTAGTCTGTGGTGTAAAATATTAGATGTCACCAAACTCAAGCTGAAGGACAATGAGCACCTGAAAGGGAACAGGTTTCCCTTTCTTTCACATATTGACGGCCTGGCTGTAGTTATCCAGCATATGTGTATTTATGATTCAGCGGCAAGAGTCTAGCACCTGAAGCACCTCAAAGCACTTACACACGAACTATTGTGCCACAGCTACACCAATAGAGCTGCTTTCAGATACATTGCAGCAGGGGAGGAGTCCCCAAGTTTTCACTAACATACAATTGGTTGCAGTCTCATTCTTAAAAAATGGCTACCAAAGAACCTTTACTTAGATTCGCCATTTGTAAATTTTGCATTGCTTTCAATTCTATACACAAACTCACAACAGGGCCTGATTAAGTAACAAACCAGGTAAACCATGGCTTAGGGTCTCGAGGATCCCCGGATATGATTGATGCCATTACCTCTCAGTTGCGCTTCTCTTCCAGTCAGTCTCAGCCCTGTCTCATATCTGCCTCATGTGAGGCCGTGTTAAGCAACTGGAAGAGAGTTGCTCACCTGCTTTCTGTTCTGCCCTACTCTGGGCTGGGTTTGGTTAAGTTTGGTTGGTCGCTGGTCTGGGTTGGGTTTCGTAAAATGTTGGCACTCACATACTGTTACTCATGAACAAATGCACCAAAAACAAGCCTCTTTCAAAACTTTTAATGGTTTGTTATTCATTGGAGTTTGATTGGCAGCATTATTGATTTGATTGCACCTACCCACAGCTGTGTGTTGCATTTAGTCGACAGCTGTGTCAGAGTAGAGCCCCGAGAGGTTTTACAATTCACTGCACATGGCTCATCTGTTTTGCTGCTGGCGGCACAGGCAGCCTCACCCGGTCTTATTATCTGCATTAGGCTCACGTTTCCAAATGTGGCAATTGCTCTTCGTATGTTCTCAACATGACCAGTAACAGTCTGTGAAGCTGAACACTCCTTCTCAAAGAGTCTCATCAAAAACTCAGAGATCCATAATGATCCAGGATAGATTGAATGTCTATTGAGCATGATTTGACAAGTACAACCATGTTTGGATCATGTAGATGAGATGTTTACAACTATGAATTCCCAGAGGAAAGTATTTTAAAAAGGTATTGTTGCATATTTTGCATGTATAGTTCAAAGGGCTTCCGAATGTGATCTGGCTTAAGGCCCTCGATCCCTTAATCTGGTCCTGCACACAACACATGGCTCCAGTCACGGTCAGCTTATTCATTAGTAAGGAGCAGCTGGAACACATGATCATTTGGCAGGATTTGGTCCAACCAGTATGTTTGGCTGGGCCAAATGGTTCAAGATCACGGAACGGCTATTAACACTTGAACGTATTATTTCAAATGCAAAGCTACAAGGGGACATATTAAGGTTTAAAGCAGTGGAGAAAAAAATCTAATTTGCTTCGTTGAGCAAACAAACACATTTCCTTCTCCAGTCAGAGTAATGGATTCCGTCACTCGGACTGAAAAACAATCGGATCTCAAATGGGACATTCACGAAATCATTCACAAAAAGCAAATGCTGCAGGAACCCGGATGCGTCTCAGGCTAACCTACCAGAGCATTGCTCGGATTCCAATCTGATTTAATATGAAGGCACATTGCGGCCAAAGATGGCGATCTATGGCACATTAGTATCTGAGTAGCTTAACAGAGGTCAACCATCAGGGAACCTATTTGTAAATTGATTTGCAAATATTGCACACTTTCCCTAAATTTAATGGTTTTGCTAACCACAAACTGCCCAGCATCATTCTCTCATGTAAATTCTCATTTTTTTCCAACAGCTTTATCTCCAGGCACGAATGACGGCCAACTGGTGCAGACTGCTGCGCCCAACACTTCAGTTTGGTTTGATTGCAACATCTATCTATGTCGGCCTTTCCCGCGTGTCTGATTACAAACACCACTGGAGCGATGTGCTGACCGGACTTATCGAGGGCGCGATTGCATCCACGTTAGTTGTGAGTAGAAAGAAACAGCTTTATTTTGTCATTAGTGAACAAAACTCAGTAGTTCTATGAATGATTGTATACCTAAAAGCATTTGGGAATTTAAGCACAGAATACCAATCAGTCTGTTTTAAGTACATTGGGTTCTCAAACATGGTATTCAAGCAGGGATTCTGAGTATCCAAAATTCACACTCCTCACTGGAATTTTGCTGCAAAGGTAGATGAAAGAGCATTTACGCCATAATATACTTCCAGAGCCAGGGAAAAATTCCCACTTGGATTCCTTAAATAAGGAATTCTGTTCCAAATTTGGCGACTTTTAAGACGCATTGAATTTGGTCTTAATCGCAGGAAGAGCTGGGAGCATGTCTGCTACGAGATGTTGAAGGCAAGTAAAAATGGTAACTGGTGAACATTGCGAGTGCTGCTTTAATATGGCAAGATTGTCAACAGCGGCCACTTCACCGACCATTTGCTGGAATATCACTGTTTGCACACAAACACAAATGGCAACAAAAAAAAAAGCTCTCTATCCTCACATGAATTTTTGTTTGTCATGTAGGACACACTGCTAATGGAAAATTGAAACTAAACAGAACCGTTTCACTAGTATAATACCCATTTTCTTTGCAGTGAAAATCTGACTAATCTTCCATTATTTGGCAATAAAATGTAGCAGGAATTTGCGTAGCAAAGCAATGGAAAAATGCTTTGGTAATAAATCACGTGTCTAAATATTTTTATGTTCCAGTTCAGCAAAAATCAAAGTATTATGGTGTCTACGTTTCAGAGCTGTTTCAAATATCCTTTTCTCTTCCCTGCCGCCAACCTTTCTGGTGGATAATAATCCTTGCATTTGATATAGCGCTTTTCACGTCGGGAGGACGTCCCCAAGCGCTGCACAGAACACACTGTAAAATGAATTGACTGTATATTTGTGGGCGAACGTGGCAGCCAATTGCGCACAGCAGTGTCCCACAAACAGTCATAGATTGAAAATGACCAATTTATTATTGTTTTTGGTTTTTGGAGGGATTATTATTAGGCTCTGTGTGGAGTAAGGAAAGTTGCCCAAGGTTTCGCCCTGACCTGCCTGGAATTGAACTCAGGTCTCTCGCTTGCAAAGCGAGTGCTCTAACCACTGAGCTACAGGACTCCACGGATAGACCTTGTTTATCATGAGTTGCCTTTCCCACACTGACACCAGTCAAGTAAAAGCAGCAATGGGCATAGACGTGAGTCAAGAAACCGATGTCCTCTTGCCAATCCTGACTTCACCAGCTGCTGGATTGCCAGCAATCAATGCAAAACACAAGCATGGCTACGAGTCTTTAAGCTGTTGTATTGATGCTGCAATCTCTGCAGATACCACTCAGTGTTGACGTCAGCACAGTGGTGCACAATAATTGAATTAATGAAACAGTTTAGATTTCTGGTCAGAATGCTGATTTATAGTTGTGACCAGTGCTGCTTTTACTTTACATGAATGCTACCCAACGCTGCCCACCTTTAGCAATAGGTCGAAACTCATTTGGAAATGCAGACTGGTTCAGACCAGCAAAGTGGTTTTGAATGCTGCAAGACCAGAAATCAAGTTATGACACAAGCTTTTAAAAACAGTGTGTCCGTGAAGTTGTTTGCCTGTTGTCCTGGTGCCATGGAATCTATCCAACGATATAACCAGACAATATAATCATCATCCTTGCATTTGATATAGTGCTTTTCACATCTTCTGAACGTCTCAAAGCGCTCGGAGTAGGAAGCTAGATATAAAGAGTTCAGTAATATTAATGCAGTATTAGACCACACTCACATATTTCAACAGCACCTGGAAGTTAGTTTTACATTTTAAAGGTGAGTTACGTTGGGCTATGAAGGACAATTTTAGACAGTATTTCACACACAAATAGTTAACATTTCACATAGTTAATCAACACTTGGCCACGAGAGTCGGTTCAGGCCACATTTAATAAAAAAGCTTGATGCTGTGATGGGAAGATTTGTATTTTCAGTGCTCTTGAGATGCTGCCCCACATGAAGAGCACTATATAAATGCAAGTTGTTGTCTGCTAGAAGGCTGAAATTAGAGTTAACGGGTCATCATCTGAACCTCTCGTGAAAACAGTGAATTGCTGAAGCTACGTCATTATTTAGTAGTGTATTTAATTTGCTTGTTGTCCGAGTCCTTTATTCGCCATCTGCTTAGAAACATAGACATCTGCAGAGCAGAAGGCACCCATTAAGACTCATTTAGTCCCGGCTCACAGAACAAGATCACTTCAGTCCCACCACCCTACCTTTTCCCCTTAACCCTTTAAGCTCCTCTCTTTCAAATACCTATCCACTGCCCTCTTGAAAAGGTTCAATGGACCCCATCTCTACCACCCTACTTGACAGGGAGTTCCACATCCCAGCTACTCTCTTGATGAAAAAAATCCCAAGTTGTTCTTTGTTCTTGTATATCAACCTGTCTGCTCCCTCCACTCAGGCCTGCTCCACATCCTCTCCCCTTGGTCCACCCCACCATTAGTAAGGCGTTCAGCCTCTCTGTTCCCACCCTTTGGAACTGCATCCCAGTCCCTTCGCCTCGCTCCCTCCCTTCCTTGTCTCTTTCAAGGCACATCTCAAGACCCTCTTCAACCGCACCTTCGTCCACCCTTCTAACCCTACCCTCCACCCCCCCCCCCCAGCTCTTGTCAAAACCCCTGACTGTCCAGTGCCTTGGGACATCCTTCTGACGTGAAAGGGGCTATACACATGTAATTGTTATTTATGAAGACAGTTGTTCATAAAACTACAATTTTAAAAGCTCATTCATGACATGGAACTGAGAAATTTACAGCACAGAAGGCCGTTCAGTCATCATGCCTGTGCCGGCTCTTTTAAAATCAATCCTTTCAGTCCCATTTACTTGTTCTTTCTCCAGACTCTGCAGTTCATAATTCAAGGTGGGACACCAGGGGAGGTCTTCCTTAGTGATTCTAAATACACTGACATAAAAAAAACACATCAGCCTGAGAGAAACCCTGATACTGGTCACTTAAACAAATTTACATGTAATCTTCCTGTTAGCATCCTTACTTTACAGCAGAATAGAGGGAACTGAAAACCAAACGCTAAAAGTTAAGTGCTTGCTTGCCTCTTTCAATTTTCTTAAAGGCACGGCGATATTTTGAGAAATGTAGGTTGGGGGATTACAAGAATTTTGAAATGTCCTCCCAATATGAAATTTATCAAATGCAATGTATAAGTCACACTGATTCTGTTCAGTAGTTGTTGACAGCCCTCAGGTTCATATACTCTCTATCCTCCTCCCCAACTTATTTTTAAAAAATATTTTCAACAACTTGCATTTATATTAGCATCTTCGAGCTCCACGCCGACCCGCGGAGATAGAGGGTTGACTGTAGACACGGGTGAAGAGGAAGGTCTTCAGTTTAGATTTATTATTTAATGAGAGGAAGCTAGATCTTCACATGAGGGAGAGGGAAATAGAAGGGTAAGAAGGAGTAAGGTAACTCACGTAGAGCATAAACACCAGTGCTGGCTGAGCCGAGTGAGTTGTTTCCTTGCTGTGCACTCTCTGGGGAAGTAAACTTATAAAAAGGATAGGTGATGAGGACAGAAAGAGACGTTATTTCTACATGCAATGTGATGATAGATATGGACGTTAGGAGAAATGGGACTAAAACGTTAACATGAATTAATAAAATGGCAGACCAGATGCACAGTGGTACAAATGGCCTCCTCTTGCTTTTATCATGTTATTTAATCGATCACAAACATCCCCACCTGGAACCACTGTTAGTCTAATGGTACATTTTTCTCTGTGCAGGTGGTGTACGTCTCGGGCTTCTTCAAAAAGAGAAATACCAAAATTTCACCAAAAGACGAGGAAAATTCACAAACAAATTTACGCGAGACACAAAGAAACCATTTTGGCAGCAACCATCAGCCATAAAAGATTGCCAATGGCATCAGTGAATGTAAACTTCTCTGATGACAACTACTCACTCATCACAAATTCAGTAAGATATCTATTCACTCGAGCAGATAATTGCCTATAATGGATTAGCACCTGCTGCTATTACCTTCGGAACCGCCACTTCACTTTGTATATATTAAATACATATTATTGCCTATATAACAGCAAGTAAATTTTGTTTATAATTACAAATATTTTTTTATTTGTACTGTACCTTATAAAAAACGCTTTTATCACTAAAGGATATAAAGCATTCAAACAATATTCTAAAATGTAAAATGTTTATTAAATGATCTGGCAAGGCTTATGTACAGAGTTTCAACTGTTGGAAGCTTGCTTTGATGATGCTTGAGTTTGGTAATACATGAATCCATTGGAAAATAAAACAGTCACAAAAGTCTACCAATCTCCATGTGTTGGGATGCTTATTTGTGCACTCGAGAACGTCTCTGTGAAAACCATCAGCCTCAGTAATTCTGGCCACAAAGTCTCCTGGCAGATGGCAGAGAGTTCACCCTGAATGGGAAGGACCACTTGTGCTGCTCATGTGATGATGTTACAAGTAAAGACTTGCAGCAAATACAATATCTCTTTTGATCTTGGTTATGCCTGTGGACAAAGGATCAATCATTCATTATCCAATTTACTTGCAAAAGTATTTCCCGAACACATGTAACATTTTAGTTTGCAAAGTGTTAGCAAATCTTCAACCATTCATCAGTCTTCTTTATATTTCAGCTTTTTCTCGATACCTTGCGACCAATATATTTGTGCCAACAAAAAGGATGTACAGTAGAACCATACACAACATTCAACACCAGTGATGCTGACTGGTAGAAAGCGTGTAATATCAAACGGTAGCTAGCCAATGTGACACCGCAACTGAGAAAATTGGCTGTAGAGTATACGGACTTTGCCTATCAAGTATCCATCCTTCTTTCATTTTTTTGCACGCACCAAAATTGTGTCTTATCACTACAAATGAGCCAGCTTGTTCATTGTGAATATTGAGCAGCAAGATTAACTCAATTTTGAATAAATAATAGTGCAGCTAAATAGAGGAAATTGTCTGAAATTTATTCCTTGTAGTGCAATGCTACGTATAAAACAATATGATGAGAATGTGTTCCAGGGTAATTAAGACCAAGTGGTGACCCGGAGTGAATGTGCATCAATACTTATTTGATTTCACTGTTTAAACACAGGAGAAAAAGCCAAGAAAGATCAAGTTTTCCTCCTTTTTTTTAGCTAAGGAGTATTATGCAGTTGGGGTGGGGGAGAAGAAGGGAGAAAGCAATGAAAGAAAATTTACACAGGACATCTCAAAAAAGTCAACAGTGATGGGCTATCTACTGTAGGTTAGGCTTGTTCTATGGACATCTCTAAACATAAAATTAAATCAATCATCCAAGTGAGTGCCAGAAAAACACTGGGACATGATCCCTTTAAGAGTTGGGTGCCATCTTGACCATGTCTTCGCCCTCTTCTTTCCCCTTATTTATGTATGGTTTCATTACTGTATATGTCACTTCACACACAAATCAGAAACTCCTAAGTACACTAGGTCAGAAGGAAAACAGATGGGTAGGTATGAAAAGGGGCTTTGTATGTGCATGCTGATCTGTATTTAGCTAAAGAATTCCATACTTAAGGTAGGCAATGTAATATTATATCTAACCCGTTCAGCCAAATGAATTATGCCAACTAACACAGGAAACAGAGGTTACTGATCTCTATAGAGAGAGAGAGAGAAAAAAATCTTTAAAGTGTCCACAGTGTCAAAACTTGTCACAGCAGTTCACAAATAATTACTGTGAAGTGCGATGGCTATTTCTGTAGGCAAATGTGGCAGCCATTTTACACACTGCAAAGTCTCACAAACAGCCATTAATCTAGAGGATTGTTGGCCTCGAGAATAATCAAGAGAAATATTCTCTTTTCAAACAGGGCCATATGGTATTTAATGCCCACTTGAACAGGCAGACGGGAGCTTGGTGTAATGTCTCATCGCTCCCCTGGATTTGTTTATGACAATTACAACCTAAAGCCACGATTTAGGAGTAGGCAGGCAATGTTTTACGACAGTGTTCCTAAAAAATGAAGCAACATAATCTTAAGCGTAAACCACAAATTCAAGTGCTGAATCAATAAATAGATATAATCACCTGAACACAAATCTCATGCAGCAACAACAAATTACACTGGTTTAGCGTCCTTCATGTCGGAAAGATGTCCCAGTGTGCTGGACAGTCAAGAGTTTTTTTGCACACAAGCTGGGAGTTGGGGTCAGGAGGGGTGGAGGACGGGGGTGGGGAGGTGGCCGAAGGTACGGTGAAAGAGGAAGGTCTACAGGACTTAAAGGAAACAAAAGAGGGGACGAGGTGGAGGGATTGCGGATAGAGTTCCAGAGTGTGGGGACAGGGATGCTGAATGCCTGACCGCCAATGGTTGGGTGAGAAATGAGGGGGACTTGAAGCAGGCCGGAGTCTGCCGAGGGGAGCGGGCAAGCTAATATAGGGTTAGGAGGTCGGAGAGGTGGGAGCAAGACTGGAGGGCTTTGAAGGTGAGAACGAGAGTTTGTACTCAATTCTCTGCGGGATGGGGAGCCATCTCCAACATCCTCAACTGAAGATCACTGGATAGCCATCAGGGATGAAACCATAGATGAGTTCCTATCGTAGCAATGCACCATAGCTAAATTGCTGTGCTGTCGCTGCTGAGATCAAATAACTCGACAAAAATCAGGAATCCAGCTTAATACCACACTTAGGTATATATATATCCATTGCGGGAAGAAAGTCAATGCTCTTAATACATGGCTTGGAAAAAAATGAGGGCATTATATATCAACAGAATTGTGTTTGACAAACCAGGGTACCAATGGATGTTCAACAACTCAATTTCTTGGTAGAATTAAAGGCTGCAATAGTAGTCTTGCCAACCCTCCGTCAACTAGGTGATAAATCCTACTTAGTAAATACTGCACTGCAACTGTGTAATGACAGCTGGGCATCCCAACCAATTAGATTTGTTAGGTACCAGTGGCTAACCTGCTTCTGCAGAGCACTGTAAGCTTCTAGAAAATTATGGTTTATATATTTCCAATGGGGCGGTCACAACTAAATGAAGAAAACATTGCACAGCTAAATAACCTTTTGAAGAAAGGTTCTTTCTGTTCAGATTTTTTAATAGGCACCCAAACCAGGCTGCTCTCGATCTAACTTCTGACAAATCGTTGTCATTTAACCAATTCAACATACCTTCTGAGAATTTGTTTTCCAGTTCTGTGTTTCCTATGGCCTTTGCTGCTTGACACATCTGACGAAGGAGTTCCTCCAGTCGTCTCATACAACGAATGATGCTCCCTATTAAAAAGTTATAAATGGTAATTCTTCAATTTGACATTGTGCATTCAAAGCATTTGACAACCATTCTGTAATGGGTACTTGCTCGCATTTATAGTAAAAATAAAGTGCTAAATTATTTTGACAGAAAGAGGAAAGAATCATTTGCAGCAAACAAACAATTTTTCGATTCCATGAAGGAGTCCAATTGCCCCAAGACATCCTATAGCTACAGAAAAATATATGCTATTTTTATTCCACAAAAGTGGTGAGAACACAACAAATAATCAAACATTAGATTACAAAAATTAAGTAGTTCACCTTTACTCACAAGTTGATGTACATAATATAGTGTATAGGAACGGGCACATTATTCTTCTCATTATTGGTGATCTCTTTGATCCTGAGGGTCGCAGATCGAGAATGTTTTGTAAAACTATCAGAAATACCACAGGAAACAGATAATCATATATACTCCAGGTTAATCTCTAATCTTTATTTCCCTGGCTAGGAGTTGATCAAATAGGGTTCTAATGCAACAAATTTTCTGGGAAGGAACAGCTGAACTTGATTTAGATTTTACCTGATCTGTCCTTCCACCAGGGATTATGGAGTGACCAGGAGTGAAATCCTGTCCATTTTTTTCCTCCCAAGCAAGGGAATGCTGAAGTCAACTGTAACACCTCAACTATCACTGTGGCTGAGATCAGTTAACTTGGCAGTAATCAAGGTTTGAACTATGGCTCAGTAACACATCCCAGAGGGTGGTTACCTGCTGTGCCATTGCATGGTATTGTATGTTATGTTTTTGTATGGTATAACTACTTTTCTGGCTTCTGAAAGCTATTGGCAGAGAATTATTTAATCTGTCCACTTGGTTTTATAAGTAGAGATAAATCATTCAATTGTACTCGCTAATAGCACAAGTAGGTTTACAGTGAGTATGCACAAAGTGGATAAAATTCTGCAAATGATTGGTGTTGTTGGTGTGCTGTACCTATAGCACATTTCCAGGTAATAAAAATTGTTTACAGGTTTGCCATTTCCAACCTGTTTCTCGTATAAATCTGAACCAGTACAAATGGTGAATTAACTTGTATGTCATCACATTGGTGATGTATTCTCCAGCTGTAGTATTGCGGTGCAACACTAATCCTTCGTGTAAAAAAAATCCTGAATTTCAGTGGGTTCTCATGTGAAGTCTAATACAGTTTCCACCACTGCTTTGGACTAAAAACAGACTATTCAAATATCATTACATTTCAACACTATCTGTTGACAACAAGAAACAAAGTATTCAACTAATTTTGTTTTAAAACAGTTCCAACCATTTATCAAAATGATTTAATGAGATTTAATATCACTGTTTTAATGAAAGTATACAGTCGATGGATATTTTATTTTTTGCACAACAAACTTTTTCTGCAGTGAAAGAACTAATTGTCCTTGCTGCCTGACCTGTAAGACTGCCAGGACTCCTGCAAACAAAATGCCACAATTGCAGTGAACTTATATCCATGAATCCCAACAGTTCCAAGAAGCCCAAGCCCATCTGGAATGAATTATCATAACAGGGCACAAACCCAACACAACTGAAATCGCTGCAGATTCCAAGAGCAGAGCCACGCTGCATTTTGGCAATCCATCAATTTTCATTTCTTTATAAGTAAGCTTTACTTACACAGACTTTAAAAACTTCTGTGAAAGTTAAAGTTAAACCAAGCATTTAAACTCTGGTTAATAAAGTACCACTATACAAAACAAAACCCTTGCAATATTTACCAATTAAATCAAGGCTACAATGGGTAGTAAATTCATTAAATAATAACCTCATTCAAAACAAATTTAGAAAAAAGTCAATCCAGGTAATAAATAGTAAAAGATGATCTTTCAAAACTCCAATTTAAAGAATATCAGATTATGTGCTTGGTTCATTTCAGGATTTTAGATGCACTAAAATCCAGAGTTTATAAATATCGGGTTAAATTCATGATATGGGTATTTCAAGGACAGCAAGGTCTCAATGCAGGTCAAGCTTGCAGTATATAGGAACTGTGTGCAAACAATTCTCCTTTTTGGATCTGAGCTTCCTCCAGCCCATTTGCAAAGTCCAGGATCAAGCAGTGAGGTGGATTTGTGGCCAACACAGGAAGCGGCAGCAGGGAGGGAAGACTCTAGCCCACAGTGACCTGTCCCTGAGCAACCTGGAGGCAGAGTCAGCTTCACAGGAGGCACGTCTATTTGCCAAGGCCCCTCGTACGAGGACTTGGATTAATCAGATAGTGCTGAGTAAGCCTGGTATGTGGCATTGGACTTGGACCTCCAGAACAACAAGGTGGCGGGCAAGAAGATGGCGGCAATGGTCTCATACATTTCACAATGAGCTGTGGTTGCCCACCAGGAACCTTGCTGGGAGTTCCTGATCCTATCCACCTAGTGAGGAGTCAATCCCATGCTCGTCAGGTGAGCAACTAGTGACTAACCTCCCAGAGTGGGGTGGGAGGGAGGGGGGGAAGTGGGGTCTCCTTGCGGCTGAACTGGCTACAAGAGCAGTGCTGTACTCACTTGCCTGTTTTCAGGTTTTCTCCGACTGACAGCTGTGTAAAGTATAAGGCGACACATATCTGCCTTCATAACTGAGACAATTAGAATCATAGAATTTTATAGCACAGAAGGAGGCCATTCTGCCCACTGTGCCTGTGCCAGCTCTTTGAAAGAGCTACCAACTAGTCCCACTCCACCATTCTTACCCCACAGCCCTGTGAATTCTTCCTATTTAACTATTTATCTAATTCCCTGATGAAAGCCATTATGGAATCTGGTTCCACCACCTTTTCAGGCAGTGTGTTCCAGACCGTGTGAACTCTGGGTAAAATTAAACGGACTGTTAACATCCTCTTCGACTTAAACAATTCACATATTTTTATCATCTCCCACTGCAAGAAAAATACAATAAAATCATGAAAGGCAACATGGACATTCAAATAATTTTTTTTTTTTTTACAGAGAATAAAACAGGCTGAAAAGTACTTGAAAATGGTTGTTCTGGAAAATAATGGATCTGCAATTTTCCATTTTGAAACCTGACCTTAATGTCACCAGCCAACTCTGAACTTGTGTATTTGTTATGTGTAAGTCACATAAAATCAGACTTATACATAACAAATAACTTATATATAACCATTATATATGTTACAACTTACGCAAGTTTGACATAATTCATACTTTGCACAAGTCATATTAAATGTAAAGTATAAGGTTACACATATCTGCCTTCATAACTGAGACAATTAGAATCATGCCTGCTCCCTCTGCTCAACAGACTCCGGCCTGCTCCATGTTTCCCGTCCGACCCGCCCTACCATCGGTGGCCGGGCTTTCAGCCTCTTTGGCCCCACACTCTGCAACTCCCTTCGCCTCGTTTCCTCCCTTGCCTCCTCCAAAGCTGGTCTCACGACCCTTCTCTTCTACCGTGCCTTTGGTCTCCTTCCCACCTCTCTGCCTTCCCTCACCCCTACACCACCTCTCCCCCATGCTCGGTACCCGACACCTGACTGTTCAGTGCTTTGAGATGTCCTCCCGACATGAAAGGCGCTCTATAAATGTAATTTTGTTGTTGTTGTAAATGTCTGGTCCCAACCTATATGACTTATGTGAGGTTTATTGTATGTACTCCAGGGCACTGCTGGTGACAGCACAGCTAGGCTGGCTCATCGGCAGTGCTTGATAGGGCAGACCAGTCACTGGGTGTAGGGAAAATGGGAAAGCTTGCCAGACAGTTCTGTCAATGGCAAGCTATGTGGTTTTAGCTGGTTAGATTCCAACTTGCACTCTGGGGTCCCCAAGCCTTGGCTCTTGCCAACCTGCATTTAGTACTTTCTGTAATTAGGTAAGCAGGACATGTCCCTCCAGGGAGAGAGTGCACATTCCATTCCAATAAACATCTCTGGAATTTCCATGTACAGGTGGGATGAATGGAACTCTCAAGTTTGGTGATATGTTTCCGAATGTGTCAGACACCCGGCTGACCTCCCCCAAAAACCTTTTTTTTTGCTGCCTTTAATTCTTAAATTATAATATGCGTTTGTTTGTTAGCAACACATCTATTTCAAACTCCTTGCTAATATTTTCCAAATCACTTTCTTTTCTTCTCTAGAACACAATGTGGGCAGATTGAATATTTGCCGCTTTGGATTAGTACAACCATTGAATCAAAGGGAAAGGTTATATCATGAAATGGCCACACTGCAACCAGGGTGTGGGGGAAATGGTTCTCGTCTTCCAGGGACAGATTCAGAACCAAATCTAGATCCTAAATGTGAACAAGCAGCAGGCTAACTATATTCAGAAAGACTGCCAATTTTCTTAAGCAATCCCAGGTGCACATATAATAGGATGGTTGAAATTTTAAGTTCAGTCCTACATTCTGCAATGCAACAGCAGCAGAGTCCTGAAGCCAACTTTTCAACAGTATTCCCACCTGTAGGATTACTGATCATCAAAATGGTGAATACTTTTTACAATCCTACATAAGGGCCGAAAAACTATTTTTCTGGGTAGTAAAAGAACTGATTCTGTATAAAGAAACAAAAGGGTAAAGCGAGTAGCTGCTGCTCACTGGGAACTACCCTGTTAGTCATATTTCTTTTAAAAAACAATCCGACTGAGCAATCGTCAGTGAAATCCAAATCTATGGAGAGCAGATACAAATGATCTATGTAATAATTAGCTGCTCTAATGAGACAATCTGCTGTTAAAACCATTGGAATATAAACCTAGAGAGAGAGAATGTGTATGCGTGTGTGTGTGTGTTGGCTTACTCAAATATACATAACACAAATTAAAACATGAAAGCTTACATTAAATGTAAAGCTAGTACTGACGAAGTAATGTAATATAATTATTTGAGTTTCATGTGGATGCAAATTCCTTTCTGAAGCTCAGAACTGGGAACAGAATCAAGATGAAAGGTTTAGAAATCTGAAACAGGTACTGGAGAAGTGCAACTATTTGTTGGTTCATCTATGTTACTACTTAAAGACCAACAAAATCAGTGTGTGTGTGAAACAAAATAGATAAAAAATGCATCAGAGTCTTGTAGATTTCTCATTGCTGGGTCTCTGCAAGCCCAAACACTGTTAATGGGCACACGACGCACTGCCTGACAGAGTTCGATGTAATAACTTTCACCCCACTCTTCTGCTTTGATCCTCCCACAAATCAATATTGTTTCCTCTTTCTTTTCTACGAGCTAACTTGGTTATTAGAAAATGCAGTTGACACTGAATATTTGTGGCAGCAGGCAATTCTGGATCAACTCACAAATTAATCCAAAGCAGTTGGCTGCCCCTGATTACTGCAGGAGGAGGCAAGTTCTTAATATTGTGTAAAAGTTTTGACAAGGGTGCTAATTATCAATATTTTTTTCTTTATTTCCAGGAGTACTTTAGGGGAAAAAGTACTCCCCAGAGTTTAGTTCATGTTTAATAACATTTTTTAAAAAAATGATATTTTTCATTACCTTCAAAAACTTCTGTCATTTTACAGATCTGAGCAAAAGTGGCTCCATTCGCCCACGTGAAAACTACGTCCATTAATTGAGGTCGAAATGACTCCAGATACATATCCTCATCAACCTCTAGTTTGGCTTCTGCTGACACTTTGGCTATTCTTCTAGCACATTCCTGAAAATGGACAGTGGAGATTTTTTTTAAAAAAAGTTATTGTTTTACCACTGTGTGATAGGCACACAGTTTAATACAGCAAAGGCATATTCTGAAACAAATTCATTTTATAAGTGCATTTTTCCAGCAAATGAATTACACAATTTTTAGCATATCCTCAGTTAAATCTAATGTGCAGGTATCCTGCACTTGGGAAATTTTTTACATTTTATACACTGATTAGAAAACAATTACTGATATTTTAATAACAACAATAGTAAATCCTAGAACTAGTAGCCAGAAGCACAAATGATCTAACCACTAAATGAGAAAATCCTGCTTGTGGTCCAAGTTTAGATTTTTGGATAACATAGATCTTACCATTATACAGCCTGCCAAAGACTGGAATAAAGGATGAAGAAACCACAATACATCTATTCAACAATTAGGCTATTATGAAGACAGTAGGAATGTTAGTTTGATCATTTGTTTTGATCAGGTCACGGAAACCTGGATAAGGACAAGATAATTATTATTATGCTCGAGGGGATTTTCACATCTGTTTCTGATTTTTTTTTCCTTATATACCCTCCTAGATCTTGTACATGGGAAAACTCAGAAAACAGGCAAGAAGGAACACCATTAGATTTTGTAATTCTGAACTGTAATTTATTTAGAGAAAGAATTTTAAATTCAAATTTTAAAACTACACTTTAGGGTCTGAGACTCCAGACTATTAGTCCTTTACATCCAGTAAAAGTACTATGCAAGATCAGAGGAGAATGTAAGTAGAAAGTAAAATTGGCTCAAAGCTCTATTTCATCCAGTATAGCACAAGAGATTATTTTTGTCCTCCACTTCTCATAACTATTCTCCTGGTGTCAGAAGGCTGTGTTGGTAGGTAGCACTCTTGTCTCTGAATTAAAAACATGTGGGTTCAAGCCTCACGAACAGCCTAGGGTGACACCTCAACTGCAGTGTTGCGGGAGTGCTGTTTTATCGAAGGTGCTGAGCCTTGGGTAAGACATAAGACTATCGTCCCATCTGCCTATTCACATCAAAGACCCCATTCCACTACTAGAAGAGTTTTTCCCAGTGGCCTAGGATGATCCCTCAGAGAAAAAAAGACATGGACTTCATGGCTGTTTGTGGGATATTGCTGTGTACAAATTGGCTGCAGCTTAGCCCTGCAAATAATTTTACAAAAAAAACCTCAAGTGAAGTGATTTGAGATGTTTTGATGTAATAAGTCACTATATTAAATGCAAGTATTATTATTGCACATGGCTTCTCTCTTCAGACAAAATAGAGTGAGCCTTTTAAGATGGTAATGCTTTGGTCAGAAAAAATGATTATTGACAACCCGACCAAATGGTTTATTTCTGATACAACATTTTGAACGGTGGATGTGCAATGCTAGCTGTCGGAAGCAAGAAGGTGCACTTTGAAAACAATCCAATGCAGACAGACAATTCCCAGTGTAGCTCAAAAGCAATTTAACAATTCTATTGCTACTGGAAAGTAATGATAGAGAAGAACACTTAAAAGTAAACCATCTAAATAAAATTCAGTTAATTTATGGAAAAAATAATCACTAGAATCTTCAGCAAAACTGCCAAAGAGGGTATGGTCATTCTTGATTTTAGACACCTTCGGAAAAGAGAAATTCAATCTGTGGCACAAATTCAAACAAATAATCTTTAAAAATATTGGTATGGTTAAGCTTTGATTTCTAATGTTCTGCAATCACACAAATTTTTTTTGTTGACGTACAATGGGGTTTTCTTTCCTTTGCTGGTCTTTTGCACAATCTGAATATTATTTTAATCAAGAAAAAAAATTACCTTAAAAAGAAACCTTACCTGCATCTGTCGTAATGGCCCTGCCAATTGTTCTGTCAATTTGGGCATTTCATTTGCCTGAAATGAAATCATATGTATTCTGGTTACTGTAATGCACATATGACAAATTCTTGGACCCGGAGAAAGCTTTACATCAGCGAGACATGCTTGTTGGCAACTTAAAATGGAAAAGTATTACATTCCCTCACCTCAATGAAATATATAAATAAAAGAACAATCAATGTAAGATAGCATAGAAGATTACCATCATTTACAGATGTCAGGAAAGTTTCCACTTCATCAATTATTTAACATTTATACACTTCGGATTTATTTTATTTGATTGGAATTAACATTACAACACAATTAACATTTAATCTAATCATTCAATGGCACATCTGGCTGCTCTGCGGAAAGTTGAATGTGGATTCTACCTCAACAAGTGAGCTCTTGAGCTAAGTTAGATCCCCTGAGAAACTATTGAATGTGAACAAAACTGAGGCCCTCCTGACTGGCTCACGCCAGCATTTCTACACCTCAGGCTCTGGCAGCATCAACCTCCATGGTTGCACACAACTCACCAAGCCAGTCAGGAACCTAGGTGTCTTGTTCGACCCATAACTGTCCTTTCTTCCCCACATCCAAGTCATGACCCGCTCTGCCTTCCCTCACCTCCATAACATTGCCTGACTCCGCCACGGCCTCACCCCTCAGGCCACTGAAACTTTTGTTCATGCCTTCATCATCTCCAGGCTCGACTATTGAAACGCCCTGCTTGTTGGCCTTCCCAACTCCTCCCTCCACAGGCTGCAGATAATCCAGAACTTTGCAGCCTGTGTCCTCTCCCGCACCAAACTCCGTGACCCCATCTCACCCATTCTCACCCGACTCCATTGGCTACCTATCCTTCAGAGGATCCAGTTCAAGATTCTGGTCCTCACATACAAAGCCCTCCATGGCCTCTCCCCACCCTACCTCTACGACCTCCTAACCCGCCCATTCCTTCCGCTCAGCCGGCTCTGGCCTGCTCCACATTCCCCGACCCGCCCGTCCCACAATTGGCGGGAGAGCCTTCAGCCACTCTGCCCCCAACCATGCCATCAGTCACACCTTTCCCCTCCCCTCTCCCCCCGACCCCAGCTTGCGTCTGAAATGCTGTACACTGTCCAGCGCCTTGGGATGTCCTCCCAACATGAAAGGCGCTTATACAAATGTAATCTTGTTGCTGTTGTATTAACATATTAACACTCCCCACCCATAAAAATAGTTTTGTGCTTGCAATGAACAATGACAAAGTAAAATTGGCAAATCCTAAACATCTTTCAGAAATAGGAAAGGAATATTCAAGTTAATTAAAACTCATCCATATTATGGCTGTTTCTAAGTCATTGTGGAAGGCAAATTGGTTGCTGGGTTCACCTCCAGAATATACAATCATTATACTCTATCCTGTGAAGCTCTTTCGGACATCCTCTTGATTTGAAAAGCACTATATCAAATTCATGATCCAGACCATAATTGGTATACCCTTCAAGCTTGCTTGCCACTCACATAAATTATGTTGAAATTATTCCAAAAGCTGTGCTCACTCTCCTAATCTGTGCAGTTACTAATGCCTTCCTGGACCAGATGACAACGTTCTTTGCCATTGGATTATAAAGTGGGATCAAGAGAAGATGCTAACTATCAATTCTCCTCACAATTCAATGCCATATCTGTTTTTTTTACAACTAATTCTAATATACTTTTCTTAGAGTTGAAAGCAGAGCTCTAACTTTCAGGTGTTTAAAAAAGCGATACAATTTAAATGGCAGGGAAGTCACACCCTTTAATTGAAGAAATGTACTTTAATCAAGCTTTTAGTCCCATATTTGTGTTTTATCAAATGTACACCCCCAGGACATGTACTATTCGAAAATAGAAGGGCATTTCTCCCAGTGTCTTGGCCAACAATATTACAGGTAAAAACATGTCATTCACTTCAAGCTGTTTTTGGACACACTGCCATGTTAGCCTTCAAAATACACAATCACTACACTCTACAATAAATCCTGCAAAATACTATGAGATATGATAATCTGATAATACTATGAGATATGATAGTCTGATAATCAATCTATATTGATTGATATGGTGCTATATCAAATACAAAGAGTATTATTCTCTCAAAGCATGGCAAATTAATTCACCACTGTTCCCAACATTACTGTTTCCAAAAGTAGTTTCTAACTACTGTATTGTTTAATGAATTTATCTTTAACATTTAAGACAAGTTTAAAGTTTCATATGTATAAGTAGTTATGTTCCTTATTTTAACACAGCAGTCAAAAGGGAAATAGCTCTTTAAAAAAAAGCAGCCAAGAAACTTAAAGATTGTTATGTCTTAAAAATTGTTTCCTTCCCCCCACATTGCAGAAATCATTACATTGGGAAATCAATAACTCAAAGGAACAAATATATTTCATGGCATTATTGAACTCCGTTACTCTATTACTAAGCATCAACATCTAGCTAATTTTTCAGTTTGGATTCATCTTCTGAGGTTAATGGGATCACAACCAAGCTATTAACAAGGAAAATTATGATTTAGTTTGGTCACTTTAGAGGCTGAGTTTCAGAAACCACTTTCTGACTATTTAACTGGCTTTGAGTATAATGTGAGTATTGTTGAACAAATATTTCAGGCGGTGTGTCCACATATAAATAAACAGAATTTACCAGTAATGTACAGCAGCTTGCCAAGTCTCCCAAATGCTTAGTTACCTCCATCTCTGAAATCTGCTTTCTGAGGAACATCACGTACAGGTCATGTCTACAGTGGATACTTCCATTTAAGCACACCTTAACCCCTTTGAGAGGAGCAATTCAATACCACAGTTAATACTCCAGCCCCTGGGTTAAGTGCTAGGTTAACAGCAGAAACAGATGCTATCTTCTGCGTTTACAACACAAAGTTATGGAAGAAAGGAAAGGATTACTAAATTAGGTGGAACTCAGAATGGAAAATATCTGATAATTGAAATTATATTAAACAGGATAAAATGGGGACAAATATTAGTTTGAACTCAATTTGTTCTTAAAGTTACTTTCCAGGAAATGTAATGTACATTTTAAAAGTACAGAACAGAGACATTTAATAACAGACGGATAACCAAAATCCCGGGGTGGGGGGGTGATTAATACTTAAGACATTCCTATTTGCAGTTTTATAGACTGAACAAATCATCAATGTAACATGATCAAAAGCATCAAATATAAAAATATAATTGAACTTGCAAATTTTGAGACAGAATTTGATTAATGGAAGAAACAAAACAGAAAATGGTTGAAATGTCATTAAGGTATCCAACCATACACACAAGAAAACAAATCAAAAATGTCACACCTTGCTGCCATGCTGAAACCTGAAACTATAAAAGGATTTTTGTTCATAAAACCAGCCAAACTAAAAAAGAGCTCTCCGGCAATAAAATATCTGGCTTAGTCTAATACCTTTTCTGAAAATATGAAAATTTCTGGCACAGTGAACAAAAAGTAGTATAATATGGAAACCAAACAAATTCAACACATATTAGCCAAATTCAAACAAGCCATTGTTAATTTAGGTCAGCTTTAACCTAGCCTTTAACTAGTATTCATTCATAAACAGCAATTAACACACTTTGTGAATTTCTTAAGAATTAGCAGGGATTCAAAAGTCTAAGGGGTGCCCTTTTGTTGTCCGATAAGGCACAGTTTCTGATGACTGACACTAGAATACGTTCCTGGCCAAAACCAAATAAACTAGCTTTTTTGAAAATCAGAACTCACATAATATAATGGCTCAAAGTGGAGTACATAAGACAACATTTGCCATACAGTGAGCTGGTAGTTTCAACAAGCCCCTTAATTGAATAAGTAACTTCAAATTCTCTGTTTCGTATCCTGTGGACCTATACTTATTGCTTTTAATTCACCCAATTTCACTACACTGCATTTGTCAACCCAAATCACGTAAAATTTATCCAGATTCCTCTGTATCTGGTTAATCTATTTGCTAATATTTCCTTTGGTTTGATAGCTTATTTTTTGCCTCACTTCCAAATCATTTAAATGGAATACCTCGAGCTAGTACTGATACGCGAGACACCTCTCCAGTTACAGTATTTCCTTCTATGATGATATAGCTCCATGTGTTTCCTTGATCTAACAAATTTCTGATCCACTTCAGAAGCTTTAGTGGATTAAATTATATAACTTTACACCCACGCAATAACCTGTCTGGAACTGTGTCAAAAGATTTTCTAAAAAAGCAAAGAGATTACTTATTAAAATGGAAATCAAATAGTGAAAGAAAAACAAGTTTTTTGTTTTTTTTTAAAAAAGGGGGGTCTTTTCATGAATCCTTCATTGCAATTTTTGAATCCTAAGAGTGCAAACCACAATCTAATATATGCGGATATAAATGAAAAAAAAATCCCTGCATTTGATATAACGCCTTATCACATCTTCGAGGCATCTCAAAGCGCCTCACAGAATATACTGTAAAGTGAATTGATTGTGTATTTTATGGACAAAACGTGGCAGCCAATTGTGCACAGAATATGCTGAGAATGAAGAATGACTATTCTGATTATTTCAATGCTTACAGTATTGGATTTAGAAGAAACAAAGTATGGAATATTAACAGGACCAGCTAATTTTCTAGTTTACTATTCTTGGCTATGTATAGTTTTCTATATAGATAGATCTTTGATAGATCTGTCTGTCTGTGGGATGTGGTCACTAAACTCTGTTTACTGCTCCTCTTATCTAGTATTCATCACTCTGCAAAACTAATTGGCAATAATTCAGAGAATGTATGAGGCTCATAAATATAAAAGAAGTAGATACATAAAAGCTGTTCAATTAATGGATTCCCCAATGTTTCAGCACTCACACAGACCTCTAATCTGCGAAAAGCTTTTAGCTTGAAAAAAAGGGAAATATCCCCCATAATATAAAGCTTTTATAATACACTTTGATCACCCTACTCTCAAAAAAAACCTTTCCTGGACCCATCCCAGCTCTCCAATTACCACCTCATTTCCAACCTCCCTTTCCTTTCCAAGGACCTGGAACAAGTCATTTCTTCCCAGCTTTGCTTCTTCTTCTCCCGCCACTCCCTCTACGAACCACTCCAATAGGGATTCCGTGCTGGCCACAGCACAGAAACAGCCTGCATGAGGGGCACTATATAAATGCAAGTTGTTGTTAGGCCTTCAATCTCTCTGCCCCACCCTTTGAAATTCCATCCCAGTCCCTTCGCCTCGTTCCCTTCCTTGCCTCCCTCACGACCCTCCTCTTCGACTGTGCCTTCGACCATCCTCCTACCCCTCCTGATTCCAACCGCCTTCTTGGGTTCAAATCCCTGACTGTCCAGCGCCTTGGGATGACCTTGTGATGTGAAGGAGGCTATACAAATGTAATTTGGTGGTGGTGGTGTTTTAGATTAAGACAAGAGGAACATGCCAATTGGCTCTATTTTATCTTCAACCCTTTGAAGATAAATAAAATAGTATTTACCTAGCAAAACAAAAATACCCTTTGTAAAATTATTAAGAGAACTGAAAGAAATTGCAAAAGTAAATTGTTTTAAAAAATAAAGAAAGTTGTAATATTAAAAGGACTTTTGACCTTTGAACAAACTGACCAACTATACAAATTCCAACAGTATGTAAAGACTCAAGAGTTTTCACCATAGCTAAAGTGGGCTTTGCAAGCGAGTTCAATTCCAGGCAGGGCGAAACCTTGGGCAAGTTTCCTTACTCCACACAGAGCCTAATAATAATACCTCCAAAAACCAAAAACAATAATAAATTGGTCATTTTCAATCTACGACTGTTTGTGGGACATTGCTGTGCGCAATTGGCTGCCGCGTTCGCCCACAAATATACAGTCAATTCACTTTACAGTGTATTCTGTGAAGCGCTTTGGGACGTCCTCCCGACGTGAAAAGCGCTATATCAAATTCAAGGATTATTATTATTATTAGTGAAGAAATCTGAATTCAAGTTCAAACGTGTCATTATTTCGTGATCAGCAATCGATTGTTGACTGCAGCCAACCAACAATCCCCAGTGAAGACTAGCCCAGCGTGGTCCCCTGAATGGGTAATCTGCCCCCTCTGAGACAAATCCTTCCCCTCACAAGTTTTGTCCCTGAATATGACTTCTTTCTTGTTCTCCACCCTCTCCCCCCACCCCACCCCACAAAAGAGTAAACCAAAACACATTCACCAACACCAACCTTTAGGTTTTCAAAAGCCATGGAATATACAGAAACTAGGGCCGGAGGATTCATATCATTCACAAAAACTAATTTTAAAGTAAACAGGATATTTGACATATTCTGTTTACTTACTATTCAAGTCCTTTGAAAAAAAATCAAGTTGCAAAACAGCTCATACAATTTTATATGTAAACTAGACAAAAGACTTCTTCCACTTCTTTTAAAACTTGTGCATTCAACAGTTTATCATCCTGTTTTTGAGATTAACTGAAGTTGCAGTCAGCATTCTTTTAAAACGTCACATCTGAAAAAGCTTTCAAATGTGCTCTTCTTTGATATTTTTCCAACATGAATTGAAGGCTCTATGCCAAAAAAGTCTGCTCTCAATTCAATCATTATTAAGAACGTTTCACAGCTGCTACAAAAAAATCTGACTATTTGCTTTGCTTCTGTTTGTTTCAATTTACCCATTTCTTAAACATCAGCAATGAGTTAAAACAGATTTTAAAACCCTGTAATTTAGCATCAGTAAAGAATTCCATAGTGGAAATGGGTTCCTCACATCTATTTACTTTAAAATATACTGTCATATTTTACTGAAGTATTAGCCTAGTCAGACAATATCCAGTTTTTTTGGTGAACAAAAAATTCTACTGAGGACTTTATGGGGACAGTTCAAATTAATAAATGGAAAATGTTACACAAGGCAGAAACTGGGTAATTGCTGCTTTTACTATTTCTAGATATTTTGATATGATACATTTAAGTTTTAAACTAAAATACATTTTGAGTAAGGTTTTATTGCTTGGAACATGCACCTAGTAACTAACACAAGACTCGCAAAAGATTTTATTATCATGTTTGCTGTATTTGTAACCTTGAGAATTTTTTAAAAAAACTCATAAATCAACCTGCTCATTTAAATATTTTTAGCAAAGGTACACATTAAAACCCAGGCCACTTTGAACCAAGTTATAAATGCGACTATTTACCAGCTTGACACTGTCCTAGTTACAGGTTTTTTTAATTAAGATTACCAACTACGATATCTGTTGGATTTACCAGGGTTGGCAGTTTACTGCTATCAGGATAGACTTGATAGGGTGGGCTTTTTCGCTAGAGAAGAGATGTTTAAGAGGGGACCCAGAGAAGTGTTTCAAATTATAAAAGGTTAACATAAATAGACTGTTTCCACTGATTGGGGAATAATCAGGGCACACAGATATAAGATAGCAGCTAGGGAACCAAAAAGAGAATTTAGGAGGAACTATTTCACGTAGAGAGAGGGTAGTGAGATTGTGGAATTCACTGCCTGAAGCCGTGGTTGAATCAAATGGCATAGATGTATTCAAGAGGAAGCTAGACCTTTAAATGAGGGAAAGGGGAATAGAAGAGAATGGAAGGGAGTAAGGAACGGGTGGAGACTCGTGTGGAGTATAAACACTGACACACACTGGTTGAGCTGAGTGGCCTGTTCCCGTGCTATGCACACTTTGTAAACCACTTGGGCTTCACTCTAACAACAGCTGCAAGAACATCTGATTGAAAAAATGTACAACTAACCGCTTCCTGTTCAAAGATGATGAATTCATTTAAACTACAGATGAGTGCCCCCAAGTCCACACAGGATAACTATGGATTTGCTGAAATGCGATTGATATCCCAGAAGAAAAGTTGGTGAAATCCTACATTGGCATTTTGCAACAAAATTCAACACACATTTCAACAGTTCAACCAGGGGAATTCCCTCTGAGTGCACATTTTGCCTGCAGTGAGAGTTATAGTTGGACCTTGTTATAATGCAGTGAGTCTGAGTCCTTAATGTTAGATACCTCTTTATATCACTTTGTTAAACTAGAGAGTTCCAAGAATTCTACATTCCCTCTACATTCTACATTATTTTTTCTCTATCTTCCTCTTTATTTCAAATCCTACTACTTCGAACATGGCCATGGCTACCTCCCCTCTCTGCCTTACTCAGTGCCCACCCTCATAAGCTCCGAGATGTTACCCTACGTTAAGGGTGATATATAAATGTAAGGTGTTGTGGTTGTGTGCTCACCTTTTCCTGAAATACAAAACAGCTAAGTAAAGCTGTAGCTTGCTCAGCAGTCAAGTCATTGAAAATCCCATTAAACATCATCTCAGTCAGAAGAAGTTCATCGGCACTAGGAAAAACAAGAAATTTTGTAAACAACTCTAAAAGAACCACACAGTTGTTATTGCATACCTAAAATATTTTGCCAATGGATAACTAACATGAAAAAAATTGTTTGTAATTGCATCAAAACTGGATTGGGAAAAAACAAATCTCACCCTCATGGGATCCGTATAATAATTTAATTATTATAATTCAATTTGTTCAATGAATCATGACTTTGCTCTACCTCTAACTTCTTTAACAAAAAGGAAAATTTAAACTCACTTAAGAATCAATTTTTTTTGGTCAGCCGGTTGTCTGACACATGCAGAAACCCATAACCAAGCTTAAGAGTACTCAAAACCAAGGAGATTTTCATGCATCCCACCTAAACATGGAAATCCCAGAGATAGATTTTTGGAATGGAATGTGCACTCGCTCCCTGGAGGGATGCATCTTGTTTATCTTATCCCGGAAAGTATTAGGCACAGGTTGGCAAGAGCCAAGGATTGGGGTCTCCAGAGTTTGCATTGGAGTACTGCTGCAGTCTAACCAGCTAAAACCACATAGCTTGCCATTGATATCAATGCCTGGTACGCTTTCCCATTGCTTGTCCAGCTGGGACCAACCTATCCATTAGGGCTTTGCTTGCAGGGTTAACAGGAGCTGAGTAGGATGACACGCTGCCCCCAGTGACTGATCTGCCCTTCCAAGTCCCGCCAAAGAGCCAGGCTGTGCTGTCATTAGTACTGTGATGACACAGTACTGGAGTACTGTGGACCCACCTGGCTCAGAAACTGGACTGCTATAAAATAGTTGGTATTGTACTGAATGCTCAAATATTAAAAACTAAAAAACTATACTGAAAATGTCATTCACAACTAGGATTCACCAATGAGAAGAACACTGTGTGTTCATAATAGAGAATGAATGCTCCTCAAAATTACAGAATTGATGAGGAACTGCAAAATATCCAATGTGTCTTCAGGAAATTTAAATATAGACATTCAGTTTCATGAGACCTCACCTGCTTATTTCGCAAGCAACTCGTCCTTTCATTTCAATGACATCAGAGGAAGTAGCAAAACCCAATCTCCTGATCACTCGCTTACGGCACTTTAGTTCATCCATTTGTAAAACTGTTCTAGCTTTCTTCAGCTCTCTCTTTGCTGTTTTGATATCTGCAGCAATCTATATACAAACATATGAACATGTAGTGTACATAACGTGAGTCCTGTAGCTCAGTGGTTAGGGCTCTCGCCTTGCAAGCGAGAGACCTGGGTTCGATTCCCGGCAGGGCGAAATGTTGGGCAAATTTCCCTACTCCACAAGTCTGATAATAAGCCCTCAAGAAAAAAACCCAATAATATTGGCCACTTCAATCCATGACTGTTTGTGGGACACTGCTGTGCGCAATTGGCTGCTGCGTTTCGCCCACAAATATACAGTCAATTTACTTTACAGTATATTCTGTGAAGCATTTTGAGACATCTCAAAGGCGTGAAAAGCACTATATCAAATGCAAGGATTATTATTATTATTAACATGGATTTCTTTCATAATAAATATCAAGATGTAGCATAAAATGTGGCACCCACCCTCCGGATGAGATGTTAAACTAATGGCCCAGTCCATCTACTTGTTCAGGTGGATGTTAAAGATTCCACAGAACTATTCGAAAAGAGAAGGGAGTTTCTCTATCAAATGCAAGGATTATTATTATACTGAACACTACAATGGATCCTGTACAATGCATAACGTTTCAAAATGCTTTTCCTTTAAAGTTTAATTAAGTTTCCACTGACTCAACATGCATTTTTCTCTTGTACAAATGTTGTTTTTCTAACCTATGATTCACTTTTTCACTAATTTTGCAGACGCCAACGTCTGCAGTTAGCTGGTTAAAATAAAATACAAAACAGTAGATTTTTTTAAAAAAACAGAAATTGCCAAAAGAAATAGAAGAAATGACCAGTAGAAATTTATATTTATATTAATTATATTTACTTATGACCACTAGCCAAAGTCATGAGCACTGCAATTTTGTATCAACATCATTTTCAAACTTATTAAAATTAGATTTCAACAGTGAATGGTTATTTATGATAATTCCAAGTGTCTTACTTGCGCTTTCTTCTCACAAAGTTTGTAGACAGTTTCCAGATTGGGGTCATTGTGCAATGGATGAGAATACATTCTTTGCTCAAATGCCTCAAGTTTTTGGATTACTTTCTTTAGACCTTGATCCTTGATTCCCATATCATCAACTGGATCTAACAAAGGAACGCCATCAGGAAATCGCTTCTGTACCTCCTAAATATAAAAATAAATGTTATAAAGATATTGACTGCTCAGTGTAAATTCCACATTCATTTCTCTATTTTCTGCAAAACAGAAATCAATTGCAAGTGGTTTGGTGTGAAACTGAAACTACAACCCATTCAAATAAATCAAGAGGCTGTATAAATGTCCTACCTGCATAGATTTCAGAACACTCTGCCTATTGTCCACTGATCTTAGATCTTTAGGAATGTAAAGACGCACACTGCTAATAGACGTTATTAGGTGAAGTATAATGGGAACAACCTGTTGAGAGAGATTTTTTTTAATGAATTTTAACTGTTTCACCAACAACAACAATGCAGACTTAAGGCACAGATCTCTCCAAATCTAGCAATAGATTAAATAACTAAAATCTCAGAAGGTAGAACAAGCCTATTAAACAGAGGAATCGGAAATGAATGAATGAAACAAACAAGGATGGCTATTTATTTAAATTAAAGGTACTAACTCTGCTGAGTGAGAATAAAAAGAGAAAGGTACCACCTGGCCCTATCCTAATGATGTGCAACTTCTAACAAAGCGGATCATTTATCTAACCCACGAGGCCCATTTCTCAAACCAAATACAAAAGTGCCAGAGATTAAAATTGTGCAGTAGAATTGGTTCACTGAAAGGCATAGGAGTTTCAGACATTCAAAAATAGATGGATGTCAAATATTATAGGTTAGGATACGACAGAATTTATTTTATCCCATGATAATAAACGACATCAATATTTACTAACATATGGGGGAAGAGATTCCTGTGAACAATAGGCACAAGTAAGGTAATCACACATTCTCGACCAGCCACTCAAATTCCTTTAATCAGAACACATACCCTGACAACGAGGGCCTCCGTTAGAAGAGTATAATGGAGAAAAAGGCACATCTATTCACACAGGACCGTTTTGAACCTTGTGATTTCTATTTCTCAAAACTTTCCTCCTAAATCAAAGAATTCCATGAAAAAAGGAATCATCTGATAAACACATACTGTGAATAAATCAATGATATTTATCGAATCAACTTATATGCAAGAATGAAAGGCCTCAAAGGGAGCCACCTGCAATATTCATAAAAGAATCTATGAAAATGGTTTATGAGAGTCACAAGGAACAAAATATAAAGCCCTGTTTCAGACAGCTTGTTAATGTATAATTATACACAAGCATCAAATCTCATCATCCATTAAAAGTACACAAAGGACACAACAACTCGGAAAAGCTGTGCTTTGCACTGCAGCATATGTTCTAAAAAAAGTTAAGACCATATGTCTTTTGCTTGGTGACTCTCAGAACAATTCTGTTTGCCAAAATAAATGCTCTGCTCCAATGATCCATAGGGCAAACGTCTTGTTTCTATTACTCAGGAAATCTTCAAAGCAGAGGAAATTAACAAAGTGGAATATGTTCCAGGGTAACTCTGTCCTATTTATTTTCCTTGACAATCGTAAAGATAATCTAACATTTAAATCTATTGTGTCTACTGCTTCACATGCTGACAGAACACTGATGGTCTGTCAGGAATTCTGCCATCTTTCACACACTTACATAGTAAGTGGACTTCAGAGTAGCCACTGGCATTTTCTAGTACAATACCTTTGACCCTGACACCAACTGACACACATCTATTCTGATCAGCTCAAATACGTGAAGAGTTGGCTTTGGGTGATAAATCCGCACATTTATATTCCTCAATAAGAATAAATTACAAAGTGCCATTTCAGATATTATTCCATAAACAGGTCTTTTATAAATATTTCCAACATTTGGCGAGCTTTGTGGAGATAGATCAAGCTTCACTGCGCTCTAGAGCTAACTCCTGGAATGATGGTACCAACAGTTAATTATTGACTTAGGCTGCTGTGGTTGGCACCACAGCACAAATAAAATTCGAATAGCATTACTCACCTTGCAAGATGAATATCCCATTATGTCGAGAGGGACCATAGGAAGAGTGGAGAAGTAATTCTTATCTATCATTTAATAATCCTTGCATTTTTGTATAACGCTTTTCACGTCTTCTAGATGTCTCAAAGCGCTTCACAGAATAGACTATGTAAAGTGAATTGACTGGTGAATGAAAATTTGTTACTATAATCCGTCTTCAACTATAATAAAATGAATGCCAATCCAACCAACCTGCATCTCTCCCTTTTCTCCTTGTTTTGTTGGTTTTGCTGCCTCAGATGCAGCAAGTTTCAGGCTCTCTTTACTACAATGTAACAAAGCTTCAACCACATAAATTTGATCCAAGTCTCCAGTATTTGACTGTGAATGAGAGAATATAACAAAAGTTACTGCCTCAAATCACATGATTTCAAGTCATGTTACTTACACACACACAATGTTTTTAGGACCCCAAAATAAATCAAAACACAAACAAAATGATATGTAAAAATAATTTTTCTGTGGCCATATTATGGTCTTCAATGGGCTTTTACAGAAACCCATCACCACTAAATCGAACTTGAAGTAGTGTTAATTTACTCATTATTGCACATTTGTGAAGCAGGATAAACTTTAGACAAGTATTCTAATTACCAGTATTTTCACTTTCTCATAAATCAGAATTGATTTACTTTGTACTTTATTGACCCACACGGTTTACCTTTGCACTAGGTTTCTTTGTGAAATTTATGACAACTCCCCAGCCAAAGTCATCATCTTCATTTTTCACCTGAAAGACAAGAAATATTCATTGCTGTTCTATTAACGTACACATGCAAAACACTCAGCAAATTCTTTACCTATTCATTCATATTTTGATACAAAACAAACTATGTACCAAATGCATTATAGCACTGACAATGCACAAAAAGAGTTGAAAAAATATAACCTCTGTCAAATTTCCAAGCTTGGAAGGGTTCTCAGGAAATTTCACTGGCAAAAAAAGAACTTTCTCATGGTGGTTAGAGGTTGGGCACACAATGTCACATTTAAACAAGACTGCACTTTTCAGATTTGGCTTGGTTATTGTGGAGGAAGGCTTTCCACATCTCTTAAGCAAAATTCCTGGTAGGCTGACTAAACTATATTTATTACATTCACCCAAAACTTTGAGGTAGATCTACCTAGGTTGAACTAAAGGCCTATTGGAGAGGAGATGCAATGAAATGAAGCGGCATAGGGTAAAATAATGGGAACCGAAGAAAACTAGAAAAGTGTTTGGACAGTCACTAAAATTCTACCACGAATCACGCTAAGAAAATATAAAATGTTTCGCCCATAAAATGTACAGTTAATTGACTTTACAGTATATTCCATGACGTCTCAGCAAAATGAGAAGGCACTATATCAATGCAAGGATTATTATTATAAAAAATTACGTAAATCAGTTAAAAAGCAGCAAGCTTACCACACTGAGTCATCAATACACCCAACAAATATTATTGCAATGGCTCTGTTTTCCATATTTTTGCATGTCATATTTATTTGTGGATTTCCAAATATTTTAAAGCAACAGGAGAGCAAACTGTGCATTTAAATGCCTTCATCTTTTAACTTACAAATGTGATGTGCTTCATATTATAATAAATATAATCCTTGCATTTGATATAGAGCTTTTTCATGTCTTCTAGACGTCTCAAGGTGCTTCACAGAATATATTGTAAAGTGAATTGACTGTATATTTATGAGCAAAACTCGGCAGCTAATTGCGCACAGCGGTGTCCCACAAACAGTCATGGATTGAAGTGACCAATTTAGGTTTGGATCAAAGATTCACTTACTGAAATTCAAAACAATAGAAATGCAATTACAGCTAAGGTTAGAAAAAATAACAATTAAATGAAAATATACCTTAACTAGTCTTCCAGGCTGAAGAAATGGTAGGCAATATTTCGGCTTGCGTACATACTCCTCAATTTCTTTGCCCAGCTTAGCCAACTGCTGTCGTATTTTGTAGTAAGTAACTACACTTTCTTCATTGGGGATTTCAATGTCATTGTACTGCCCTTCCAATTTCTTGACTCCTATAAAATAGATCATTAATTGATGTAAGTTAACAGCACTCTTCAGATGTATTGCTCTCATCTTACATAAACTAATTCTGCAACAATACATTTAATAGCTTCAAAATGTGCAAAAAAAGGCAATTGACTTGGTTGCCAATAACAAGCGTAGGAACACAATAAACCTCATTTCTCATGAGAACTCCCACTACACTCTCTTGTGACCCTTTTCACATTCATACAATGCATCTTGCATAAGTCCTGAGTGAGAGTTGCAATTCATACTGATCCTGATGATGCACTTCACTCGCTAAGTACTAAATTGAGACTTCCCCAATCTCATTCATGGACGACCCTTGTAGATGGCAAAGAGAAAAGGACAATGTTTGAATTGGATTCAAAGTCAGAGAAGGAAGGATAATGCACTAACACTGCACAACTAATGAAGTTTGAGTTCTGACAAAGGGTCGTGGACCCAAAACATTGACTCACTTTCCTTTCTCTATAGATGCTGCCTGACCTCCTGAGTGTTCCCAGCGACTTCTGTTTTTGTTACAACTAATGAAGTATTCAGTTTCACATAGGCATTATAGCAGTCACAATCATCAATTCTAGGTAACGATAAGAATCCATTCCAGGACAGGCTTCTGAGCAGTAACTGACATTAGCAAATACCTGAATGTCCAAATGTCACTGCCAGATACCTGCAGGTCCTCAAAAGTCAGGCAGACTTGGAGATGTGGTCTTATCCTTAACCTTACAAGACAAAGCTCTTAGAGCTTCTACTCCCTTCTTAGTGCTTTCGAGCTTTTTGCCCATTTGCATCCCTATCAAGCCGTCGTTCCCTCTGCTCAGCAAATTCTGGCCATATGCCCCTGCTTGATCTTCCTCACCATAGAGGAGCCTTTAGACATTCTGCCCTGCCCTCTGGAACTCTTATCTTGGGAGTCCCGCCAACTTGCCCCCTCCCGCCTTATTTTTCAAGCCCACCTTGATCATACTTTCCATCATCTTTCTCTCTCCCCACACCCTCTGCAGCTCCTCCCCATTCCCTGGCTTGGTTGTCTAACCAGCTGTGTAGAGACTTTTCAGGTGTCCTCCTGAAGTGAATGGCCCTATGTAAATTGTATTGTATAGCTGGTCTACACAATAAAACAGATGTGTTGTCACAGCAAAATATACTTTTGGTGGCTGCTGAATACTGTGAACCAATCTTAAACTCCCTTAGGCACCAAAACTGATTAACGTGAGCTCTACAGTCTTGACAATTTATTGAATGAGCTCAAGAAAAACTTTGCATCAGAAGTTAAACACTAGTTTAAATCTAAGCAGAAAATATAACATACTTTTATGGCACTATACAATTTTGTTTCAATGGAAAAGAAATATTCTGCGATAGAATCTTTTAAAATGGGGTGCATTTTGGCAAAAATAATATCCAGTCAACATCCCTGAATTAAAAGTTAACGTTTTAAGCTTTACATATATTTTGGAAATGTGCTATCAAACAGCAAAGAAATAGTAACTATGCACTAGGAATAACTATATAACCTGATCAAGATTCAGAATACATCATGAAATGGAACAATTTATAATCTAATAAAACCTCAGTTTTGAAATCACTCTTTGATTTTGTTATTAAAGTATTTGAAAAAAGGCTTATGTCAAGAATATAAATCTTTTTTCACTCTGCTTATCTATGAAAGCTCAAGATATTCTTGTCATTGCCTTTTATTTCCACTGTTGTGAGTTTCTCCTGCTGGGGCTGTGGTGGGGGAGGTAGGGGGAAGAGCACCCTCACTTTCATGATTGATGGTAACAGTTCACAGAAAAAGATGACAGGAAATTATAACTGCACTTGCACTTTTGCAAAACATTTCATAAAACTGTTCAAATCCCTTGTTGATTTCTGCCGTAATGTAAGAGCTGACAGTAGTGCAATAGGTCACTTACAGAAAGTTAGTTAACTGAAAGTCTGTAACATAGCTACGCAGAAAACAAATGAAGTAGTTAATTACAGGAAATGTGCAAGTCCACTACATATGATCGATGAGTTTGCGTGTGATACCAGGGAGTAATACAATCAAGGGATTCTGAATACATCTTGTCGTCTGGGTGACATCTATAACTAGGGCAAACTTTTCACAAGTCAGACTTGAATGGTTACTGACCACACAGAAACACAAGAGAATTTGCATTGGGACTCTAATAAGCAAAGTCAGAAACATCAACTGATGTGACCACAGAGAAGATTGAATGACTTTATTGTTAAAAATGCAAGACTGAAGATATTATAAGTTGAATAAGAATCATACAGCATAGAAGGAGGCCTTTCAGCCCATCGTGCCTGTGCCGGCTCTTTGAAAGAGCTATCCAATTAGTCCCACTCAACTGCTCTTTCCCCACAGCCTTGCAATTATTTTTCTTTTCAAATATACATCAAATTCCCTTTTGAAAGAATCAAGGTATATCATTTGCTCCTCCCTCTGCTTCTACTCACCTGAAGGCAGAGGACCATGCTGGAGTATCTCTCCATTAGAGCTAACAGCCCTACATATCTCTTCCACATTATTTTTGTCGAATAATGAAATGTTTTCATAAAGCAGGAATTATTTACTAGGGGGCCATACTGGGAAGGAAAATGACAGACTAAAGAGACAAGTTGCTCAGAAACTCAATAATTATTTTGATAGATACAAGGGAGTGAGAGGGGGGAAAAAAACAAGAGTGTGTAAAAACCTTCCTTGTGCACAAACCTGTAAAGTGGGTCCTTTTACTTCCCTATAAATGTAAAACATCCTAGCCAATATTCCACTCTCATCGAAATTAAGTACAACATATTCAAATTAATTAATTGAATACTCCTTCAGGTGTTTGTGGAATGTTGTTAGCACAGAATTTCCAGAGTTTGCTTACATAATACTATTCAATATTAAAAGTTTTTTTCTAAATTTACAGTTTTTTTGATTTACTAATTAATTTATGCTTTGTTATTCAGGTGAATGTTAAGCGTCTCTTCCCCCCCTCCCAAGTCAAAGAAAAAGATAGTTTCCTTCTTGTTATCCTGGCTTATGTTCCCTCCCACTGAGTTGGTTCCAATGTGACCTGCTTGCCAATGGAACATCAAAATTGAGTTACGTTTCTGTGGCGATTTTGGCCATTTAGTTTCTCTACCTCTAAAGGTCCCGTTGACAATAAATCAGCCATCCTGGCTCATCAACAGGAGTTGGATAGACAATGTATCCACAGGGAGCAGGCATTTTGCAATCTCAGCTCTGGTTAACCCTGCAAACCAAACCCTAACATGTAGGATGGTCCTAGATGAACAGGCAGCAGGAAGGCTGTCAGACAGAGTGCACAACATTATTAGAAAAGACAAAGGAATTTCTCTTGGTGTCAAGGCGAACAATTCTCCAGATACACAAATTGGTCATTCACCTCATGGCTATTTATGGGGCAATGCTGTGCGCAAAATGGCTGCCGCATTTGCTTACAAATACACAGACACTCCACTTTACAGAAAATCAACCAGCTCAACACAGAACAGGGAAACGACCTTGGGTCTCTTAGTCTGTGCCAGACCACAAAAATGAATCAAGAGAGACATTTAAGGAAATACTACATAATGATAATATTTTACAATCTTGTATTAATTGAGTTTTGCTTAAAATCTACTCAAATGGGCTAATTTATTGAGTTGTAGGTTGAAGGTATGGGGAAATGCCCTGTGTTTGTTGATAGACTCATGTTTCGACAGTCATTTACAAACTCCTTAATGTTTTCCAGAAGTCTAGAAACGCTTTGAATCAATTCCATCTCCATTCAGAGCATCAGAAATCAACTGTAACATGAGGACTTGTTCATATTTTGGAATTGGTCTTTAATGATGACTTCATGCTCCCTGGGTATTGCTGTGCCTCAAACTTTTGTTTCAGTTCCCTGGAGTTCCATTTGAGACATAATTTTGGCCTGTTCTCACTCACTGCCTTAGACCAAAATGCAGCTAGAAATAGAATGTCAATGTACATCATAAATTACTCAATTAAAATCAGGTATTACTGGCTTTTCTAAAAGCTGTTTACAATTACCAGAATGATAGATTCAACATATATATCCTTGATAGGTGCAGTACGTCACCTCACTGTGAACTGCGCTGCAACAATTGTACATAGCCATCTAGAATGTAGATGAATAAAAACTGTAACACTTTAGACTTGCACATTGGATCCTTAATTCTGTAATATTATATTAATTTCTGGGACATTTATGAGAAGGTTATAAATAAATGTGTCTTCACAAAAAGTGGGAATCACACTGGTTAGTGGTTGTATTGACATACAAAAGACACCTCTCCGTGCCAGTGATGTACATCCCACCTGAGAAATAGCTTGAATGATGGCGGTTAGAAGTCTCAAGGCAATAAAGCAGATGCACTGATCCTATAATCAAGATTTTGGTTCAAGGATCTTAGAAGACAAATGTGTGCCAGGAGGCACTTTACCATATATATCCTCGGTACTGATGTAAATTAAATTCATGCAACCACCAGAATAACACGGTTCAAACTTCCCACTTGAAGACATCCCACAGTCGTTGAAATGGACTCTGGAGTCTGGCATATCAAGAAGTTAAAGGTAACCCAAAATTATTCCAACATAACGCGTTGCATCAGAATGGTTCCACTAATGTTCTGTTCATTTACCTGTTAGACATCAAGGCTGGATGAGCTACAATATCTTACAACTCAATATGGATAAGACAGAAGCCATCCTCCTTAGCTCCTGCCAACACCTCACTTCCAGCTTACCCCCTCAGACTCTCTCTCTCAAATTCATCAAATCAGTGTGCCCTGGGATATGGTTTAATCCTTAGCTCTTCTTTCTCCCTCATATCCTTGACAGAGACTTCTTTTGTTCACTTCCACATCACCCACCTCAGCCCCAATCTCACACCATATGCAACCAAAACCCCTTATTCATGCCTTTGTTACTGCTCGTCTGGATTTTTCAAATGCACTCCTC